AATGATCAACTCGAGGTCGAGTACGATCCTTTGCAAGAGTTATATAATGAAAATACGAGGTCTAGTTCGAACCTCACAATGATCAACTCGAGGTCAAGTACGAACCTTTGCAAGAGTTATATAATGAAAATCCGAGGTCGAGTTCGAACCTCATAATGAGTAATGATCAACTCGAGGTCGAGTACGAACCTTTGCAAGAGTTATATAATGAAAATTCGAGGTCGAGTTCGAACCTCGCAATGATCAACTCGAGGTCGAGTACGAACCTTTGCAAGAGTTATATAATGAAAATCCGAGGTCGAGTTCGAACCTCATAATGAGTAATGATCAACTCGAGGTCGAGTACGAACCTTTGGAAGAGTTATATAATGAAAATCCGAGGTCGAGTTCGAACCTCGTAATGATCAACTCGAGGTCGAGTACGAACCTTTGCAAGAGTTATATAATGAAAATCTGAGGTCAAGTTCGAACTCATACGAGACATACCCAAAATCTGAAATGAAGACGTCAAACACATGTCTCACAGCGCAAACGGGAAAAACCAAAAAGTGCAAAAGGCAAAAGAAAGCGAGAAGGCAAAAAGACAAAGAAAAACATATATACATACTCAAGCAATAATCCAAAGTTCTATACTTGAATTCCAAACAAAAAGTAAAACAGAAAAACATTAACTAAGCTACAACAAAAATGGCCTACACAGAGGCGTTCTTGCTGGAGCTGCCCTCGAGGTCGTCCTCTTTACCAGCTTCCCAAAGCGGACTACCTTCTCCACGTGCATGGCAGAGAAGTCGAACCCCGGGGCGAGAAGCCTTGCCTGGCGAGCTGCCTTGAGGAAACCCCGCTTGTGTTCAACCACGATAGATCGTTCGGTTTCCTCCAACTTCTTCTCCAGCGCCTCCCTCGCTGCCTCCTGCCTTGCCAGCTCAGCTTTCAAGGTGGCGACCTCCTCCTCTTTGCCGCCAATCACGACCTCGTCGCAGAGGCGCTTCTCGGCCACCGTCGCCAGCTCACTCTTCAGGGAAGTTACTTCATCTTCCAAAGAGCGAACCCGACCACGGGAAGACGTCACCTCATCTTCGAGGAAGCGCACCCGACTTCGGGACAAGGAGGCCAACCCCCGCAGCTCGCCCACCTGAGAAGCATAGTTCTCGTTCGAGCGTAGAGCAATCTCCATGGACTTCTGCACCCTCGCAAAATCCCCCCTCGCAGCTCAGAGCTCGGCATTTAGGACCTTGTGCTCCTCTTTAAGAACCTTATTCTCCCCCTTCAAGACCTTGTTCTCGTCCCTCAGGGGTTGAACTCGGCCCCTTAGTCTGGCTAGGTCCTCCTACTGCTTGGACCACTGAGGCTTCCAGTGGCCCATAATGGCCATAGCCCTCTGCAGAAGGACCTGGGCGGCGTCGGAGCTATCCACAGGCCCGACCTCATCTATCAGCCCCTGGTCTTCAGAGCTTAGCGAGCCTGGAGGGAAGAACTTCTCAGCGGGCACCCCGGCGCTCAATAACGAGTCCATGTCAGCCGAGGCGCTCACATGGTCCAATCGCACCTTTAATAGGCCCTTCCTGAAGCAGTGGGCTATGTATCAACTCCGGGAAGCCCCCTGCGACGAACTGGACGGCGGCGTCGTAGCTGCAGGGGTGGACACGGGAACCTCAAGACTCGGCCCTTTGCCACGAGCCTCGGCAGAGGCGGAAGCCGGCATCCCCTGCTCGGCGGCTGGAAAGTCCACGATAGGAACCTCCGACCTCGCCTGCGAAAACTAGCACCATGTCAAAAAAGAGAAAAAACAACATACAGGAAATCACGAAAATCAGAGAACACTACTTACCTCAGCAGCATGGGCAGCCTGCTCGGTGGCTGGGGCCGCCACCTCGGCAGCTTGGGCAACCTGCCCAGCAGCCTGGGTCGCCGCCCAGCATCTCCTGCCTGCAGAAAATGCCCCTAGGTCAGAACACAAAAAAGAACAATAGAAGACATCAAAAATTCGAAGAGACAAGGTACTCACCACCTCGACAAATTGAGCAACCTGCTCGGCAGTCTGAGCCATCCCCTCAAAGGCCACCTGAGGGACCCCCTAGGGCGGTGGACTCTCGGTAAGGTCCACCGCACCAGCGTCGGCAGCCTTGGAGGTTACCTCCTCGACTTCCGGAGGGGCAGAGAGGTCCCCCCGACCTCCTTCGTTCCCCTCTTTCTTTTTCGGTTAACTTTCAGGGGGGAAGCATCTTCCTCTCGAGGCTCGGGGACCTCGAGCTCGGTAACATTGTAGCGATACTTTAGCTCACGCCACAAGTTCTTCCCCATGATCCCTACAGACAGGAAATAAAACACAACAGCAAAGGGAATTTACACAAACTCCAACAACCCACCAAAAAACAAAATACTCACTCTCCAAGCCCCTCTCCTTGTACGTCGAGTTCGCAAGCGACAGAACGAGCTTGCAATCCAGCGGACGAGGAAGCGCGGCGAGGTTCTCGATGGCGGCCGCCTCCGAAGCCGTCAGCTTCACTTGGCCCACCCCATGAAACCTAGACGGTCGGGGGCACCAATGGAAGGGAAATCTCGGCAGCCTGCCGAAGTAGAATGCCCCGTCTTCCAATGGGTCGACATTCACAAGAGCGACTCGGAAAAACTCTTGTTTGAAATTTTTGTACGAATGGGAGTAGAGTGTAAAACAACCCCCATCCCTACTCCCACTCAGAGATAGTATGTCGTATGGCAGAACGCCTACCTTCAACTGGTAAAAATGAAGGAAGACGGGAAGAGACACCTCTATCCCCAAAACTGTACACAGGACTTGAAAAGCCCTCAAAAAACCCCAACTATTGGGGTGCAACTGGCAAGGAGCCGAGTTGACAAAGTTCAAAAAATCACACTCGAACTGAGTGAAGGGAAGACAGACACCTAAATCCCTAAAAAAATAGTGGTACATATAGAAATGGGGAGGGTCGGTAGACTTCCCCATGTACACGCCCTCACCGGCCTGACAGGGTTCAAGCCGGATCATCCGGGAAATGGAAGGGTCACAAACCTTACACGATCTCGGGATCCCATTTACCTCAAGAAAGGACCGAAAAACGCTCTGGACCCCCGCCATCTCACGCTTGAGCCAGTCGTAGCCAGGGATGCCTGGCTCCAGGCCCCGGGGCGGAGGTGGATCCTTCTTCTCAACGGAGGCTTTCCCGGTAGCCACCGCCTTGCCGCGTGCCTTGCCCCTGGCAGGCGCAGAAGAACTGGCACCACTCCCACCAGCCATTAAAGAAAAAGAAGATCTGGGGAAAAGAAAAAAGAAAACTGTAGAAAGGAAGTACCTGGTACTCTTCCTCACAAAACAACCCTAATAATGACGGGGTTACCGGAAACGGCGGCGGAAACGGTGAAAATAGCGACGGAGACTAGACGGAATCGAAGGTGCACAAAGCAGCTTGCGCAAGAAGCCAAGGAAGAAAGAAAACGAAAAGAGTAAAGTGAAAGGTGAAAAGGCGTGAGCAAGAGAAAAGAAAGTTTTCTCCCAAATTCAAAACAGCCACGCAACGTGTCAGCCAAGAGGCACGTCTGACGACACATTAATGGAGAACCATCATGACAAATGCAAACCATCATTACATAACCGTCACTTCCATCAACGCGCCACTTGCACGCTTTCGGAAGTGACCAGTTATGACACGTGGCACCTCAGCGAGCAGGCGTACACGAAAGGTCGCACCCACTTGACGAGCTCGGTCTTTAACTCCTCGACCTACGGTCTTTGGAGCTCGGGGGGCTAATGTACTATCCGTACTCCGAAGCCGAGCTCCGAGCTCGGTACCACAGCACGAGCTGACCTCGGACACGCGCTACGTGGGATCAGCTCGACACTTAAATAGGTCGTAACCGATCTCAGGAAATCCCAGTTTAGGCGAGATTCTCTACCTAATCGAATCACAACTAATCTCGGGCCCAAGGCCCAAAGCAACCCTAATATACATCAAGGTACGTGCATTATATATAGGAGATTCATACTCATACAAACCCTAACTTTGGCATCGAAGTCTCTTTTATAGGTATCACCCCTATCTTGGAGCATTAACGTACCAGTGAAGGAGGCTCACCAATCTTACCCAGCGGATCATCCCTACCTCGGATTCCCGGTAAGAACATTTTTATTAAATAATAAAATAGAAATAATTAATTTATTATCATTAAATAATTGTTGATAATAATAAATTTTATTATTGTGAAAATTTGGTTCTGAATTTTGAAATGTACGAACAATCTATAATTAACATATATATAGATTAACAAATTCATATTATAAGACTTTTTAAATCTTAACACATGTAAAAATTTGGATTAATTAAATCGTTTTAGTAATACTTTTTTAGTCTTTTCTAATTTAAAAATAAAATAAAATGTAGAAGAAAACAAGTGATCATGAAAAAAAATACCGATACATATTGACACAGAATACTTACTGGTTATATACAGAAAAGACGTACATGGGGTACAGACAGGTCAAATAGATGAGTTTGATTGGTATGATATGTCACACCAAAAATAGAGATTGAAGACTAACTTTTTCATTCATTAGTCGTTTTCTTCTAAATTTAATCACCTTTGCTAGATAATCGTCTCATTCTTTGGTTTATGTCTGAAGGCAACTGCAATGTAGTTTCTTGCTTTTGAAAGAGTCTTTGCTAGAAAAGTTTATTTTCACTTTCTCCTAATTTCACCACATGAATACGTGCTTTCGTATTAAATGTCATGGAAAAGTTTTTAGCCGATAAGTTTGACTTAGGTTTTTAAGGATTTAAATCATACACATGTAAAGTAGGTTTACAGATATTTAATGGAATAATAATAAAAAAAAAATAGCAATAATGATATCGAATTAATTTATGGCGTATAATTATTTTATATTGTATTATTAAAAGGAAATTCTCAAAGTTCTCCACCTTTAATTAATACTATGTGCAAAAGTGGCTTGTTTTTACTAATTAGTCCACTTTGGTTAATTAATCTCCTTAATCAAGTTATAATTCTCCTACATTTGCAAATATATTCAAACTTGTCTTGTTTCTCCTCCCTAACTTATGTACTTCATGCACTCTCTAACAACATCTTAAATTGAGTCCTTTGCAATTGATCTCAACTTCTTTTCCATATCTAATACCTGTGTCTTCAATCAGCATGAAGAAGAAGAAGAACACCCAATTTCTCTTCCTTTCACTTCTTCTCTTATGTTTCACATCGCTTTCTTTTGGAGCCAACACCAACACAACTCAGCCAGAGGAAGGTATGATGCATATAAATTTTGTTTCGTTTTTTTTTTCCAAAAAATACTTATAAAATGAAAATAGAAATAAAAAATAAATTAAACTTCTCATTAAGTAAGTTAAAACTAGTTTGTGTAATTTAATTGGCAGAAGTTATCTCATACTAATTTTCCTAAATAAAATTAATTTATAATGAATCATTTTTAGCTTATGAAAGTGTGTTTCATTGTTTCTTCTTATTCTCTTCTTCTATATGTGTTTTCTGAAAAAAATATATCTTAAAAGACCCATGTTTTTCTTCATAATTTCTCAAGATATGATGTAAATTTTTGAAGATGGATAATTTTGTTGATACCCTCTGAAATTTGCATATGAATAGTGGAAGCTCTGAAAGATATAGGCAACACCCTTGGTAAGAAGGATTGGAACACAGATATAGATCCATGCAGTGGAAAATCTCCATGGACTGTTGCTAATACAACGAAAGGCGTAGGAGACAATGTCACTGTAACCTGCAATTGCACTATTCCCGGTGACAACTTCTGCCATGTTGTTTCCATGTAAGTTTCTTTTGTTTTCTTTTTTGGTGTACAAGCTTCTTTACTATATCTCTCTTTCTTTTAATCCATTGTTTTTTAAGGAAAAATTATTTATGTTCATTGTTCTTTTAAATTTTGAGAGAAACAATTGCAGATATAAGAGATAATAAATAACAAATTAAGTGATAGATGAGAGAGTTAAAGAAGACACACTAAGAAATTATGTATTTTTATATATCATTTTAATTAACTTAAACGATCCACAAATTATAGCTCTAAATTATATTGAAGTTATTATTCCTAAATAATATCTTAAGTTTGAATCTTGTGATTAAAAATATAATTGGAGAGGAAACATCAATAAAAAATAGTCAGCAAAATTCTTTAATAAAAGTTAATCACTAATATTATAAATGGATATTTCGTATTAATAATATAATTAACTAAATAGAAAACATGACCTTTCTGATTTATACTTACAAGTTGATGATATTTTAAATAATTTGGTGTAAGAAAACTTGCAATTAACCTATGTTATTACCAATTAAATTAGTTTTCTAATTAAAGTTGTAGCAATTGTGAGTCAGCTTTGACGAAAGTGGTTATAAAGAAGACAACTTTTCGGCCGACAGAAACACCTCGCAATGCTTAGTGGTGACAGTTAGAGGTGATAAATGATAAATTAAGTGGGATAAGGTTTCGAGGTTGGGGTGGATATCTTAGTACGTCAATTTACCTTCCTCATCCTATCTACTTCACTAATTTGTTGGACCAAATGATAGAGAGAGACCAATTGACTAGTTGCTTTGCCCTTTTTTTTGTTTTTTTTTAATGTTAAATTTAAATAAATAAATAAATGAAATTTATTATATAAGTAATTTATAATTTATTATGCAGCAAATATGTTATATAAAAATAGAAATTTATACACACAAATTTGAAAAGACATTGTCTATCGAGAGTACACATTAAGGCATATGATAGGAAAAGTAATATAAGAGAAATGTTTTAGTAACCGGACAATCTATTGGTTTTACATTATTTAGTAAATAATCAACCATATAAATAAAATAATATTAAATTTAATATAATATTTTTAAATATTAATTATTATCATAAAATATTATTATCTTCATAAGAATAATAGGAACAAAAATTATTGCAATTATAACAATAATAACGATCACAATAATAATGGTTATATATGATGACAATAATAATATTAAATAACAATAATAAAAGAAAAAGTATTATTTGTAAAGTGTTTTTATATTTTGAGAAAAAAGCATGTCTCATAATTTATTGAGTATAAAAAAAAAAACAAAAGATTTATTTTCAAGTTACTCTTTATCTATTTTATCTTGTATATATCATAATTCTTTTATAAATTAAACATAAAACAATCATATGCGTCCTTTTCGATACCCTGTTTTTTTAGCAAATTAAACATACCTCTAAAGTGAGTAAATCAAAGTTCCTTTATAAGCACTGTTTGATGTAAGAGATTTTTCCTATCGATCTTAAGCTGGGATACCATTTCCATGTTCTTCGTAAATTTTCTGCAAAGAAGTGATTAACTTAATTGACAGATATTTATTTACAAAGACTACTTTAAAATTTTAATAATTTCATAAATTGAATTAACTGCGTCCAGTTATCTTTATGATTAAAACGGTGATTCAGCTACCAGACTGACGTTCTGTATTTGTATGATTATCCTAATGTCGAAAATCTGTTATTAATTTAATTATAATGTTTTCTAATTATCTTCAATTTTTTATGCTAATAAATATATAATTAACAGATTGCTGAAGTCACAAAATCTTCCAGGCATGCTCCCACCCGAACTGATAAGGTTGCCATACCTCGAAGAAATGTACGAAACAACGATTTGTTAATTGTTAGTCTTAATATTTGAAGGATAATATTAAACTTAATTGTTTCATATTAATTTGTATTATTTTCTTTAATTATTTGATACAGTGACCTCACTCGCAACTACCTTAATGGGACAATACCTAGTGAATGGGGCTCCTCCAAACTACGCATTATGTGTTATCTCTTTCTCACCTTTATTCTTTGATCTACTATTTTTTTTTTTGTTTTTTTTTATATATGTGATTTTCTTTTTATAGTTTTGGTTATTTATATAGTTGTTTTGTGACACGTTTGTCTAATTTATGTCTTTCATGCATGGTAGTTCTCTTCTTGGAAATCGTCTCACTGGTCAAATCCCAAAAGAGATAGGAAACATCACAACCCTTGAAAGTTTGTGAGTTTTCGATTATTCATGGATAGGTTAAGAATTTTTCCTTAATTTCCAATTAATTTCATGGCATATTCATTATAACTTACTAATGAACAGCGTCCTGGAATTCAATCAATTCTATGGAAATCTCCCAGAAGAGCTTGGGAACCTTTCTCGCATTCAAAGACTGTAAGCCCTGCATTCTTAATTTGATTCAGTTTTGCTATTGAGACTTGACATATCAAGGTGATGGGAGAGCAAATAAAAATATAAAGGATTAAATATGTTTTTAGTAATTGTAAAATGATTGAGTTTTAACTTTAATTTCTATACAAAATTTATTTAAAATTTGGATTGTTATCATTTTTAATCCATAATAATAATAATAATAATAATAAATAGATAGTATAAATAATTTTTGTATTATTATATGGTAACAAACTATTGTCTAGTGAATAAGCATATTTTAGACTTCTATAATAAAAAATATTAAAAGTTCAGCTATAATATATTGAATTAATTGATTATATAAAATAGATTATTAAATAAAACTATTGTCTAGTGAATGAGCATATTTTAGACTTTTATATTCAGCTAAAATAAATGTAATTAGTTGATTATATAAAATCGTTTACACTAACAATACAATACAATTCTATTGTTACCACACTTTACCAAAAAAAATTCTATTAAATTTAAACCAAGAGTCCATTTGCTTGTGGTTTTAATTCCTATTTTCAATTTCTATTTTAACTTTTTAATTACAAAACTTGTCACCTTGTGCTCGATTTGTTTCATGTTTTTAAATATTTGTACATAACACACTGAAAATAACTTTTTTTTGTTGTTGTTTTCTCTAATTCATGTACAAATCTTTGAGAAGAGGAAACACATTAAAAATAATGTAGCAATTTTATAACTAATGGTGAAAACAAAAAATGAAAACAAGAAATAAAAACACAAATAAACATGCCCTAAAATAATAAGTTTTCTTTCTTGTAGTTAAAATGAAAAATACTTTTAATTAACTCAAATTCTATAGCGCGTGTAAAAGTAGTCTAAAAAGTGAGTTCACAGTAATTTATTTAGTGTCAACCAATGAGAAATCATCGGTCATTAGTATTATTTTTTAGATGATAATTGTAAAAATTAATAAATTTATTATATATAACAATTTATAATAAAATAATAGTTCTAATATTAATGGATAAACTATTTACTCACTTTTGTCGAACCAAATAATTGTAAAATTATCCAAAAATTTCTACATTCATATTTTTACTTATCCTAGGTCTCGTTTAATGTGGTTTTGAGTTTCCTCTCTCTCTCTCTCTCTTTTTATTATTAATGTTATTAACAAATATTAATTAATCACACTTTTATTTATATTAAAAAATTATTGTCGCCACAGGCATCTTAGCTCTAACAACTTTACCGGAGAGTTGCCTGAAACTTTGGCGAAACTTACAACATTGAAAGAACTGTAAGCTTCCCATTTTATTGTCTAATTAGTTGTTACTTTTTATATTATGATATTGTTATTATTTTTATTAGTTCTGAATGATTGTTGATTCTTTTAGTTACTCTGAATTTGATTCACACTGTTCAATGTTTACATGCAGCCGGCTTAATGACAATAATTTCTCTGGAAAGATACCCGATTTTATTCAAGAATTCACAAATCTTGAAAAACTGTAAGAACCATTTGTTTTTGGACCAAGTTTTAATGTTGTGTAATATTTCTACTATATTGTTCATCTTTACATATGTGGCAATTGTATTGTTATTTACAGTTCAATTCAAGGGAGTGGTTTAAGTGGGCCAATTCCTTCTGGAATTTCATTTCTGAAAAACTTAGATGATTTGTAAGTACAGTGTTTTCATAAGTAGCCATAATTTTAAATTAATTGACTGAATTTCTTATTGTATATATACTTCATCAAAATATTCAATGCAGGAGAATTAGTGACTTGCTTGGACCTGATTCTACTTTTCCACCAGTTAATAGTATGACAAAATTGACAGTATTGTGAGTTAATTAATTGCTTTCGTTTAGTTTTTTTTCCCCCTCTCTTTTGCATGTCTCAATGTGACACCAATTTTAAGTAATATCCAAATGAAGAGATATTGGCATAATTTTGTTGCTGACTTTACAAATTTGGTATTGTTTCACAGGATACTAAGAAGTTGCAATATTAATGGCACATTACCTCAATATCTTGGCAACAAAACAAACTTTAACGAGATGAGCACCTTGTAAGTGCTCATTGATCACTTCTTTTTCCAATATCTGCTAACTACGTTGCAATTTTGTGGCAAAATTTTCTAGGATATGTTGTTTTCTGAATATAGTATTATGAATACATTTTAAATATAGAATTAATTAAGAAAAGAGTTCATTAAATAAAAAAATTTTAATTAATAAAAGAGGATGTACTCAAAATAGTGTGTCAGAGAGAATTTAATCTTAACAATACCCTTGTTTTCTGTTCAAATATTGAGTATTTAAAAGTGAGCAAAAAAATAGATACATTTCATATGTACTTTTGTTTTTTATACGATAGTTTTTGTTGACTTTTACTGTATACTTTATTACATGAATTATACCGTGGTGAAACTTTAATTTAAATTGGAGAACAAATGAACAATATTAAAACACTTAAAAATTTTATGTAATTTTTTTTCTCTTGCAAATTTTTTTAATGTTATATCTTAAAAAAATTCTTACCAAACTTTATAGTAAAGTAGTTATTAAATGAAAAATAAATATATTTAATATATAAAAAAGTACTTCATACTTATATAAATTAATTAGAAAACAAGATGACTAGTAACAGAATGTTGCGAAAGATTAATTAGAATTATTTCGATTGATAAAAATGTTAAATTTTTATTATTTTTTATACAAAATTTTATTATTACCTGATCATGTCTTGGTACATCTTTGAAAAGGTGTTTGTCTATTACGACTACATTCAAATATTTTAATATAATAATGTGATAACAAGTAATTATATATTTTGCAAGAAATAATAGATCAAAATTAATCTTGAAATGAAAAACACATACCAAATGTTGCTTTTAGTGTTTTTGAGCACGATATAGGAGTGTCAACATGGCCTTTTTGTTTCCTATTCTAGAAAAGTTTTTTTTTCTTTAAATAAGAAAAAAAAACTTATTGAATTGGTGTATGTTTTTAAAGTTGTTTTCAAAATTACAGTACTATTTTTCAGTTTTTAAAATAAAAAAGTAGAACATCTTAAAGTTGTTTTGATTTTCTATTTTTTATTTTTCAATTACTTATATTCTTCGTACTATCTCATATTCTTCTCTCTCACTCCTACTATCTAAAAGTTAATTTTTGAAAATTATTTTATAAAATAAATTTTCGAAACAAAAATACAATCAAAGACATCCATAGATTATGTTTATTCTCTCCATTATTGAGTAATCAATTTCTCATCCAAGCTTTATTAAGTTTTAAAAATTATTTTCAGAACAAATATTTTAACAATTTATTAAAGGTCTAGTATCTGAATTTACTCAATGCCCACCACAATGACCTTATTACTTCGAAATTCATGATATTACATATAATTCTTATGTCTTTTTAATATATGTATGAACTTTTATAAGATTGTAGGATAAAATAATTAAAAGAGTGTGTGAATATTGTAAATATTTTGGTACTAAATCCGATTTTTAAAATAAATAAAAAAGTTGTTATAATGAATAGGGATATTATTGTAATACTTTTCAAACAATTAAGTAAGATTAGTATCGGGATAAAAAGAAGAAAAATAATCAAGGAGAATTTAACAAAATCTAAAGAGGTAGTGTAATTTGCCATTTTAATTGAGTTATAACTCAATTAAATTTGGTCTATAAAAATATTAGTTAGATCCAAGGCCGAGTAAGCCAGCATAGCAGTGTGATACGTACAATTTTATTTTTCTGGTACGTACCCATGTTAAAGAGAATGTATATATCACATCACTATATACATTAAATATCTTAATGTTTGATTCTTTATTATTATTATTATTATTATTATTATTATTATTATTTAGCATTTCTTAACTTATTTTCATTAACATTTCTCTTTCAGAGACCTGAGCTTTAACAAATTAAGCGGAAACATTACAGAAAGCTTTAAAGATCTGATGGCAGGATTGACTTACTTGTAAGAGAATTTTTATTTTTCCATATGAAATAATCGAATCGGCATTAGACGTTTGTTTTTGACCGCATAGATCGAGTTAGGATTTTTTGAAAAAGAAAAAAATCTCTAAAAACACTTTAAAAAAAGAATAAGTTTTTTTTTCTTTCCATAAGTTAAAATTAATTTATGAGCATAATGGATAAATTTTCTATGAAAACTTAAAGAAAAAGAAAATAATAAAAATTATGATTTTTTTAAATTAGGTTATATACAATAAATTAACCATTAAAATTGATCTAGTAATATTGTGATAAAAATTAATATTCAAAATAAATACAAAAGGTCTAAGTTTAAATTTTGTTACGGTGATTGTAATTTTAACTGAAGAGAAAAAGAGAAGTTCATGCATAATTAGTTTAACTTTTTCGAGAAATTATTTAATTTAATTCTTATGTTTAAAAGGCCAATTAATTTATACAATTAGCCACTCATTAACATATTACATAGTTATTTTTACCTCATAGTCTCCTACATAAGTGTCACTACTGACATATTATTTTGGATATGGAGCTACACTATTTATAGTATCTTAATCGGTGATGTTTTATGCATAACCAAATAAATGCAACATCTTATCAACAATTTGTGTTTATTCGTCTTTACTTATCACAAATATATTAATCACATTAGTCATTTATCTTTCTTCTTTTTCTATTTCTAGAATGGTGATTGAAAATTTTATTAATTTGTATATTTATTACTAATATATGTTATCACTAAAAAAAAATGTTATATATAATGATATACGAAAAATATCATTATAAATATAATAATTATAAGTAAAAATTTATTTGATATATAACTACACATAATTTTAATGTTAATTTTGAATGAGATTTAACACTATATATTGTGTCATTATATTTTATATCTACATGTTTTAACAATATATCAATATATATTATATTTATAATGTATATAAAAATAATTTTTAGTGACAAATTTATGTTATCATAGAGTATATTATTATAGAGTGTGTTACTATAAATCAAAGGTTTTTTTTAGTGTATTAACTTCCATGCAAATCTTATTTTGATACTAGGAAAGGGAAAAGAAAATGGCTGGGGTTAAGGATTATTATTAATTTTATCATTTCAATTAATTGACCAATAATAATTGACACATGCTATGCATTATTTTTATTATTTTTCTTAGATATTTAACTGGAAACTTATTCACTGGATCAGTCCCGACGTGGGCGTTAGAAGATCATAAGCACGCCATGTGAGTTCTATTTCTTTCAAATACTAATTATATGCATTGTTGGGCTGGGCTATGTAAATGTAAATACAATCATGCACCAATAATTGGTTTTACTTCTTAATTATAAATCATCATGCAATTCATTGTTTACCAATATTTTAAACTATTCTGTTGTTGCACACCAAAACTTGATATACCATTTTTCACATCAGTTAGTAACTTTTTCGGGTCACTATTATTTACTAGGCTTTGTCAACGACTTTGTGTTTTATCTTAGTTTCTAAATTGCAATTTACATTTATGCATAGAGATCTTTCATATAACAACTTCAGCAGTGGAAACCAACAGCAGACATGCCAACAAATCAGTACAAAAACAGAGCTGTAAGACTAAGAATTCAAGTATTCCATTTTTTGTTTCTGGTAGTTTTTAATTTTAGGTTATACATATGAGTGTTAACCATATTTAAAATGCCACAGGAACTTGTTTGCAAGCTTTCCAATGAGCGAAAAGTAAGTTTTATATTTTCAAGCCCCAAAATTATCTCACAACTCACACATGAAAACTTGTACATATTGTTTTCTCTTCCTTGCTCTTGTCTGATTTGGTTTCACTCTGTTGACTTGTTTTGGTCTCCTCTTAATATTCTTTCAGGGGCCCTGTTTATTGTCCAGTGGGGAGCAATGAATGTTCTAATAAATGTAAGTTTAAAAGTTTTTTAAATTGCAAGTGCTACTTTAAGCAATATTAAACATTGTTAACCATAAATATTATATAGTACAAAAGAAAAGGGGGGAATAGTCAATTGTTCTTCTAACAAGTGTTATACTTCAATATATCAACTATTACATTTAAAAAATGACATTCCCAATAATAATACTATAATAAGAATTGTATCCTCGATAACTTTAAAAATACTTTTGATTAAATTTTAATATTTTTATAAGAATATTTTGTAAAATTCAAAATGCATGATTTGAATAAAAAATTAGAGTGGAAGTTGAAGTTATTGTTATCAGTTAAGAAAATAACTTTCTATATATGTTTCCATGAGAATAGTTTCTCATATTCAGTATTAGTACTTTCTTGAGCATGAGCAATACCTTATAGTACGTTAGATAAGCAAATAACTTTCTATATATGTTTCCATGAGAATAAATTCTCATATTCAGTATTACTAATTTCTAGACTACCTAAAACTAATTTTGTAAACCCATGAGAATATTACATCTCCAAATTTACATTCTTGAGAATAATTTTTTACACCTTGAAAGAGACATTCAAAAGTTTATTGTAGGAAGACCTTGAGTAGTCCGTGCAATCTTTTAAGACTTATGAACACATCAGGTTCTTAATTTCCATAAGACATTTGATTTTCAAACACTTGGATACATAGATATATACTTTAGTCTTATTAGATCTTTTATACTAAAAGTTATTTTGGTCATTTTGCACGACTAGTACATTTGCCAACTTTTCATAGAATATCGATAAATGTTTTATATTTTGTCATTCAGCAAGAATTTGTAGTGCCAATGGTTTTGACTCTTACAAGTTAATTTTAATGTATAAGAGAACATTTATTTATTTTACTTCCTTATTTTTTATCTTTTAAATATTTATTCAAAAGTTTGTCCAAACTAAACCATTGTTGACTAGTATCGACAAACTCTAACACCCTTTTTATGATTTCATAATCTTACTTCTTTTATTTTTGTTTTGTACCAGTCTCTAAGTCTCTCTATATAAATTGTGGTGGTGGAAAGGTGACAACCAGTGAAGGTATAACATATGTTGGTGATTCAGATTCAGCAGGACCATCAACATTAAT